GTTAAAGTTTCCTATGCTCGAAACTGCAGAAATAGGTGCTTGTCTATGAAGCAGTCCTTGAAGCTCTACTGCCCGACTCCGAATCAGGATTCTACATAAGGCAACATGAGTTACTTACTCGGTGCTGTAAGCCTTAAGAACCTCTCTGCTTAATGAACTCCAGGTTTGTTTGCCAGTAACACTTTTTGCAGCGGTGCCTACACTACCAGCACCTATGCCAGCAGTGCTAATGGCAGAGGTGGTAGTGAGTGCAGTGCCTGAAGAGGTGGGTGCGATGGAACTGCCACAGTCTCGAAGAAGGATTTCCACCTGCCGTTGGAGCCAGATATTAGCATCGCCATTCGTGGCACTTAACACGCTAGATAGCCGAGGAGTCTCGATTCGCTCACTATCAAGTCGTGTCTTTAGAACAATGCTTTCGGTCACCTACAAAGTATATAAATTATGTTTTGGAATCAAAATATTAAAAATCAAGATCGGGTTTTCATAAATTTCGATTACTGAGGGTTGTAGATGTAGAGCGAATTTGCACAGATAATTCTAATTATGGACAATTTTCCTATAAAATAAGGCAGATTCGCAGCAAATCATACTTGGATCACTTTGTACTTACGTTCAGTTGAATATGGAACGTGCTTGGTCGAATAAAACGACATTTGAGCACATGTTCTGAGATCAGTTAAAGAAACTCAAATTGTTGTTCAAAATTGTGAAGTTAGGCTTTATTGTCTTTAGAGGGTCAATCATCTTTTGTTTGTCTTCTACGAATTAACGGTGAAGACTCCTCGCCATTTATGAACATCTTGTACCTGAATAACATTACAGATAGGCCAAAAGGTATAGAATTTTCGTCTTTCATATAACTAAAATGCCAGAAGTGCCATTAAACAAGCGAAAAAATACACCTCACGAATGCTGTGATTTGGCCGGGACAAAATAACTTGAGACGCACCAAGAAGACGCTCGGAGCGTAGGTGATGAGAGCACAAAGACATTTTTGAGCTGCTGCTTGTTCAGCCAAGTCTTTGGGTTCGAGACCGCCCAATGGATCTAGTTTTTTGCGCCGTCGAGACCCAAAATTCGCCAGCAGCGGCGAAACTGGTGTTGTAGGTACCAGAAGACTTGAGAAGTGGAAAAGAGAGGGAGCCAGACAAATCGCCAAATTCAGGGCACTCATCTCGATAAAAGAAAGGAAGGGAATTGACCAGGGTACTTGTTATGGTTGAAAGATGTGAAAAATGGTATTACAATAGCTTATCAATTTATTCTGCCTGATAAGGATAAGTCCAAATCATTGGTCCCAATGCCGTTAAGGAAGAAAATTTCCTGCTTTGAGATTCCATTAGACAAATGGTTAATCTATGAAGAGATGGTGAAATCCTATATAAAATGAGAAGGAGTTTTTCCCCTTATTTTTAACGTCTTTTCTGAAGAAACGCTCGTCAGAAAAATTTCCTTACAGATGCAAGCAGCGAGGCTCAATAGTTACTGAGCCATGCGCTTGCACCCATATAATGCTGTTGCTACAGAGCCTTAACGACAAGGGCTCGTAGAATTATTTGCGCGTAATAATGTCAGCAGTTAAAAGCAGTTGAAGTGGATTGAAGTACTTCACCTAGTTGTGTAGCGTCCACATGAACGCTAGAGAATGGGTATGTTTGCTAAAATTCGTCGTGTGTAGTCCATTTCCCCGATTTCCCTTCTCTGCTTAACCAAAACTCTAGGAAGCAGTGTCTTCAAAGAGAGAACCACTAGATTAGTATCTATGTTTACGTCCTATCGTAGAATTTGTAGTCGCTACCATTCCAATGCATGAAGAGGACTTGTCGACCTAGCGTATGCCAAAAACTAATATAAGTTACCATTAGGTATGGAAGTGAAAGATGCTGTTGAACAAAGCGACAAGTACAAATTAAGACGGGTTATGACACTCTGCCTTCTAATATTAGTTTCGTTTTCACTTTTTGTGTACCTTGTCCTCATAACCAGCAGCAAAACAAACATCAAATGCAACCTAAAGTTCTAGCGCTAAAAACTTCCTATTTTTGACCTTGCAGAATTCCAGTTTGTCTCGGTA